ACCCAGAATTTCTTTCACCATCTCCTTCGCCGTCTCCTGTATCAGCACCTGTTCCTGCTCCATCCGATGACGATTCAGACGATGATTCCGAGCCAGAGACAGAGTATTTCCCATCTCCAGCTCCTGCGCCAGAAGGAGAGCCAAGCGACATCAAGGCAAGCGAAGATGGTGATGAATTCGAGGAACCGAATGGCGAAGATAGCGGGATGAGCGGATTTAAGAAAGCAGTAATCTCCATTGGAGCGATACTTGGAGTAGGAGCGATTGTAATCGGAGCTCTTGTTTACAAGAAACGAAGAGATAACTTAACCAGAGCTCGTTACACTTACTTTAACCAAGGAGAGTTCCTTTAAACTGCTTTCTTTTTTGGATTTTAAAACCTTATTTCCTCATTCTTTTTTCACTTGTCAAAAGGGGAAACATATATAATCCTTAATTTGTGTTTTATGCAAAAAGAAAATAGTTGTTTGTTTTGGTGCTACATGGATAGAATCTGTAATCTCTTAAAAAGAGTTTGTTACTATTTATTACCTCTTAAGAAGCATTACCATTTCACAGTGATCGGTGTGGGGAAAAATGTCAACGGCCATGGCTTTGACAGGTCTAAAAGGCTCGGAAGCAGGCATTTTCTTGGCTCTGTGTCGAGCTGAAGCGGCAGTGCCCATTCTCCTTTGTTTTCGGTAACCGTTATTCCCTTGCTCCGCTTTCTCCAAGAACGACGGCGTGCAAAGCTCTATCGCGTTTGCCACTAGAGTTTCAGGGTTGCACGATATGTACCTGCATCAATGCAATTGAAAACTCTGGTGTTAAAAACCTAAAAGAGGAAACAGAGTCGAAGTAACCGAGTTGTGATAGTGTTTTGAGAGAAGGAACTTACACAAGCGTCCTTAACCGTGGATGAGTTCTGAGAGCTTTGATTACGTCTGGATGAAGTCCAGGACGAGGTGGATCAACTATAGCAACTACGTTCTTGAACTGTAGTTTCGTAGATCTTTCTGGTTCTGAGGAGGAGGAATCCTTCTGCTCATTGTTTTGATGTTCCTCGTGAATGTTTGGAGTAGGTAAGCTTTGATCATCTACGGGCTCTGAGTTTGACATTTCTTCTGTTGAGGAAATTTGTTTATCGAGATCATCATTGGCATTACTTGGAGGCTTCGCTTCTTCCATTTGAGACACATCTAGGTACTCTTTAAGTAAAGAGCTCATCACATCCTCTGCCTGTATAATAAGTCAACGAACTACCATGAAGAAGAGCCCATAGGATTAAGATAATGAAACAACAAAACTATGAGATATGTTACTGTCAAATACATGCCTTTGAGCAGATGAACTTGCAGTTGCTTAGGCCATTGATCTTTGCATTCCGTTCGGCATCTGATACCGCTGAGGCATTCATTTCTATGCCAATTACCTGTAAGAGCCTAAGAGATTAGTACTGAACCCATTAGCATGAATCGGTTACCGACTTTTGTAGTTTTGTTGAACTTGTGGGATTGTAATGAAAAAACACAGTTTCCTTCCACCAAATCAGCAACGGTAAGGATTGTGCTTATGGGTTTTGCAAGTTAAAGTAGCAGAGTATTACCATTCCAACACGATGTGCCAGTGTAAGCCCAATTGTTCCAGTTCCACAGCATACATCGAAGAGTAAGGTGTCGGGACCAAGGTCAGCCCAATCTCCAGCAAGTGAATATAACTTCTCTGCAGCGCCGGTATTAACCTGGACAAATCATTTTGAATTTATGAAACAGCGTTAATTTAAGAATTTATTAAAGGAAATAAGATGCGTCGATCCTGAAGATTCAGTTTTTACCTGAAAGAATGCTGTTGGGGATATGCTGAACCGAAGGTTGTTGATATGATCGTGAATCCGAGCTTCAGCCAAGACATTGGTGGGTTGGTCCTGATTTGTCGTCTCATTATCTGACATTGGAATAGGCAGCAATCGCAGTGGACAATCTGGTGGCGCAACATTTGATATTCCTTGGTGATCCTGTGCAAGAAGCGATAGAGGCAGTTAATGATAAAACTGGACTATATAGCTAGAAAAATGTATTACACGATAGAAGTGGTTTCTCACCTGAACAAGTAATACAGTCAGAGGAAGAGTTGGGGAGCTTGCTTTTGCTCCTTCAGCAAATGCTTTTGCCATTTCTTCAAACTCAGTTGCCACTTCTGCCTCATCAGTACCCGTAGTACAAACCTGAATAGTTTCAGGTGAGGGAGAGAAATCAAAGCAAGAGATAATTAGTAGGGTGGAGAAAAACATCAACTACCATTCATTTTGATGAATATGGATACAAACCTGAACAATAAGCATAGCCTCTGCAATGCTTGTTTCAGCATCTTCACCGTTTGAAATCACACCAGGTTTTCTCCCTTCGCGAACCTAATATAATTATTTCAGCCAGGTGAAAGGGAAATTGAATTAAGTAGGTCATGCTTGAGCTATAACATAACAGCATATTCTGCATACACATACCGTCAACTGTCGCCAGAACCCAAAATTTTTAAACTTATTCCAAACTGGGAGCCTTGAATTTTCCAAAAAAGTCTGAAAGATTGAAGCATATCGGCAAGCAATTTTAGAGATATTGGGACAATCCACAGGCTCCTCGACTGCTGTCACACCCGCGCTAATAAGATCTTGCATTAGTTTTTCCCATGACACTAAGAAAAACACAAGTTTTCAGAGAAGAATGTACATACCTAAAATTTCCGAGCAGGAATCCAACAGTTGTCTTCCCCTCAACAGAATATCCAGCCGAAAACTCACACTTGTTCCTGTAACCATTCCTAACCGGTGATTCTATAATGCCTTCGAGTTTGCATGAAAGACCACCTGCATGAATTAATGTATGAATTCAAAGTCTCACCCAATCTTCATAAGGGCAATCAAAATGGAGATAACAGGTATTCGCTTTGTTAATAATTCAAAGATCAGTTACCAACCAACAGCTAAGGAGCGTGTAAGCCTATAAATCAACAATGCTAGTTTTCTTACCTATCTCTCTAGACTGAAGGACCCATTCTGGAAGTGATTTTCCATTTGGACAAGCTTTACGCGCATTCCTCGTCTGCCAAGAAATATATTTCCAACAAAGTCAGTCTGTTGGCATTGAAACTAATAAAAACAGCAATGCAAACTAGGAAAGAGATATGAAAAAGTTCTTAACAAGTTTTTTCAGCCATTGCATCATAGAAGCCTTTTTTTGTTCAAGCTGATCCGCATAAGACAGGTCTGCCAATGGAGTCACAGCTTCACGGGCACTTTTAATTTTAGCCGGATTCTTCGTTTGGTTCTTCTCGGTTGCACGGGGAAGGACATCAGCAATCTTCAAATTCTTGTGACCAACAGCTTTTCCTTCCAAAGTCTGCAATATTCAACAGAATATTAAACAACAAAAAAAGAGATATCTTGAATCGATAAACTCAAAAGGAAGGTAACAAACAAAAAAAGGCACCTCCACACCGCTCTGCAATTGTTCTGCATTCTCAAATGTCAGAAAACCAACCATCATTCCTCGTCTTTTCTTTGCAAACTTAAATTCAACTCCCTGAAAATGAATGAATCAGCAACTGAATCTATCTGCTTAAACTCAATAAATCTTGGGTAGATTATCTATCTAAAGATCTATTGAACTACAGTAACATGATCCTAGAAAGAAATTCAAAGGGCTAAGTATCCTTCTTTACCAGCTCTCCGATAAACTTTTTGAGATCATCTGATTGCCATTTTCTGGGTAAATGCACCAAACATTTACTTAGCGACAAATCATGAACACTATCTCCACATCCTTCTTCACCATCGTTTTCGTCCATCATATCCTCCGTGAACAAAACCTCTCTTTCTTCTTCTTCTGCATCGCATTTCCCGGCATTCTCCGACATCTTCGCCTTCTTGCCGCGCTCGGAGGTCGGGTCCCACGTATTATCAGGTTTCTGCCGGAGCTCTTCCTCACCGTGAGCATACCTGCACGTGCTTCCATGGCTGCAATTACCTTGGCGCCTGAAGTAAGAGCAGAGGCTCGTCTTCCACCACGGTGACGGAGTAAGATTCGGGTCAGACGATTCGAGATTGGTCTTCTCGTCGTCGCGCTTCCGTTTCTCCCCAACGGCTTCGACGGGAGCAGAGCTGATGTCGGACGGAAGATGGGATGTTAGGGTTTCGGCGACGGAAGTAAGCTCGCCGATTGATGACGACGCCATTGGAACGTCAGCAGTCGGATGTGAATCTGACGATGGAATTGGTTCGACGGAGGTGGGAGTGTTATCGGACGGAAGCTGGGATGTTAGGGTTTCCGCGGCGGAAGGAATCTGGTCGATTGATGAAGACGCCATTGGAAGTGGCGGTAGAGAAAAGTGAAGAGGAGCTTCGAATTGTACCAGATTCAGACCTTAAACCCTACCCGATTACACTTGGGTCCAA